GGATGTAATTTATGTATCTAATTACATTGAATGGCTAATTCTCATAATCAAGGATAAAAGTTAAAATCAGTGTTCCTTTTTTTTCCCACCTTTTTTTTTGGATGAATGCAGATGGTCTACATACATATAGTATTTTGAAGTACTATCATATCTGTTACTATCTCTTGAATTTAACAAGTGAAGTTGCATATAAAGCTAATGGGTATTGCCTTTCTCTAGCTTATTGATTTAAGAATATATTATCGTTTTGTTTTTAACATAGACAATGTACGTGTATAATGTTGGTATGTTTATATATTTTGTATGATAGAATACCATTATGGACTTCCGCGTTTGTCACGTAAAAGTTGTAATAGGATAAACCAAGTTGCACAACGGTCTTCTTAGTTAGCATTGTAAGGTAATTTACAATTAGATTATTGTGCTAACTTACAAGGGGTTTATTATTTATTTCATTAGCTAAGTTTGAAGTTGGTTATAGTTCATCAGCTAGTAACAGTCAAGATGAAGGTGCTCATCGTCCTCAGACGCGAGTTTCAAGAAGAAGTCAATGTGTAGCTGGGTTGTCTCAAGTGCAAGTAGATAGGTATAGAGAGGCTTCATTCTTTTTTTTCTTTCTTTTTTTTCCTTTTTCTTAAAATAAGAGGAATTTTTTTTTTATATTATCTAGAAATATTTCTTTTCCCTTCTCTTGAATTGTGTTTTTATATATATGTGTGTTGTGATACCTATGTCTATTTGTGCAATATCCACATACCTCCTATGCCTCTACAGCGTTCTTCTGCATCAAAGCGCAAATCTCAAAGGTATATATTTACATTATGACAGAAAATCTTGATTATGCTATATTGTCATTTGTTTGTGACATGAATCATATATGTGTACTAGCCAAAATGTAGTGGAAAAAGTGATCAAGGCAAGAGAGACTAAGAAGAGTCGTTGCATTGAGAGTTTGGCTCAAAAACACACAAATAGGTTTATAAGTTAATTATTTAAGCTTTAGGTTATTTATGTGGTTAACATGTTAATTTAATTTCATATCTTTGTAGTGTACCCGGGGATAAAAAGAAAAAAAAAAACTCCAAACAAACAACTGCACAATATAAGTGTATATATATATATATATATATATATATATATATATATATATATATATATATATTTGGTATTAATTAGTGGATATGCTACTAATGTTTGTACCAGTTATACCTGCTGCTGTTATAGGGCAGCCAATACCAGTAGAGCCTTTGCAATTACCTTCTCCTGAACAGTGTACAAAGTGTGCAGCTAAAAAGTTTGCATTTGAGGCTTTGCATTTTTGTTGTGGTAATGGGGAGATTGAAATTGCAACTAATGAGTATCCTCCTGAACTTGAGAGACTGTTTACATCAAAGGATGAAGATGTTGTTCATTACCGTGCATATGATATTCAGTTCTATTGGTGGGAATTACAAAGCAAATACATACAAGGGCATCTATGTATTTAAGTTACATGGCCAAATGTATCATTTTGTTCCATATTTGTTACTTGACAATAGTACTCCAAAGTATCTTCAACTATATTTTTATGATGGGCAACATGAAGCTGCGAACAAGCTATGCTTTCCAGAGTTAAGAGAAGATGTGATAAATATCCTTATGCATATATCTCAGCAAAATCTGTATGCTGCATTTTTTAGGACCTTAAGGGATAGAGAAGTAACTGTGGATACAACAATTGTGCTTAAACAAAACACAGTTCTTGACCAATGTGTCTTCAATGTTCCTGTTGTTGATGATGTTGCTGTTATTTAGCCTGAAAATACTTCATCTAGCCAAAGTTTAGGTCCACATATAATGTTTTCTGGTAAATCGACTAAGTCTCATAGGATGTATCATAACTATGGATGTTATGATCCATTGTAATATCCATTGTTATTTCCTCGTGGGGACTGTGGATGGACTCAAGGATTAAAGAAGAAATCACATGGTGGTGCAACTCATGCAGCTGCAGCTCCTGATCCTATTATATCTTGTGTTGTGCATACTGCTGAAGATTTGTTGAATGAAGAAGGAAAACGTAAACACTATATTGCTTTTCTTTCTTATTTCAGTTGGGATTTGCCTTTGTTGAGAATTTACTTTACTTACAAATAATTGTGTTTGCTTTTGCTTGTGCAGGAGCACGTAAGAAGAACACTAGGGCAGATAAAGAGAGTATTATGCATACAAATTACATATTCGTCTTAAAAATTTGTTGTTACGAACTGGGAGATGTTTGCAGCAATATATAGTTGACATGTATGTGAAGATTGAAAATACAAGGTTGGATTATTTTCGAACAATCAAGATACCATTAGAGCTGATCTATACCAAGGTATTGTAGATTCATTGGACAATGGAGAAACTGTTGGTTACAATGTTGGTTGTAGAGTCATTTTGCCTCCAACTTTTATTGGAGGACCTCGAGATATGAAGAAACGTTATCTTAATGCCATGGCTTTGGTCCAAAGATATGGTAAACCTGATTTCTTGGTTACTATTACATGTAATGCTAATTGCCCATAAATTAAAGTTGAGTTAGCTTCTGGTGAAACAACACAAGATCGTCCTGAATTAGTGGCAAGAATCTTCAGAGCAAAGTTACTTGCTCTAAAGAAAGAAATCATGGATAAAAAATTTCTTGGTGAAGTTGCTGCAATGGTTTATGCTGTTGAGTTCCAGAAAAGAGGTTTGCCTCATGCTCATTTCTTAGTAATTTTAAAATCAAAATGGAAATTGAAGTGTCCTGCTGATTATGATAAGTATGGTGTGTTGAAATACCTCACGTTAGTAATAGTAGGATAAGGAAAATTGTATTAGCACATATGATGCATGGACCTTGTGGTGTATTGAATCCAAAATGTTCATGTATGCGTACAAAGGGTGTTACACTGAGCTGCAAAAACAAATACCCAAAATAATACGCAACTGAAACAACTAATAACAAAGATGGGTACCCAATTTATAGAAGACGAGACACTGGAAAAAAGGTGAAAATACGAAATGCTCAACTTGATAATCAGTGGGTTATTCCTTATAATAAGTGTGCTCTACAATAAAGGCAGTTAAATATTTATATAAGTATAAGTACAAGGGTCATGATCGGATTGCATTTAATATTGTACCTAATAATAACAGTGTTGTAGATGAAATTGAGCAATATCAATCAAGAAGATGGGTTTCTCCTTGTGAAGCTGCATGGAGAATTTTTAGTTTTGACTTGTTTGAAATGCACCCTCCAGTTCTCCCTCTATAGGTACATTTGCCTAACATGCAAACTGTTCACATTCATCCTAATGGGAAACTCAAGTCTGTAAACGTTCACGAACTCAATTAACTGAGTTTTTTGCAATGAACGCAGCTGTTGAAGGTGGGACAGGCTACCTATATGGTGAATTATGTGAACATTCTAAGTGCGAGCATAGTAGTAAAGAATGGATAGAAAGGGTTCTAAATAAATTTTCTGTTGGGCATTTGGCTTTTGTGTATCTTGCAGAAGGAGAATGTTTCTTCTTAAGATTATTGTTGTTGAATGTCAGGAGTCCAAAGTCATTTGAAGATCTTTGAACTGTGAATGGTCATGTCTATTCAACTTTCCAGGAGGCAACTTTGAAATTAGGTTTAATAGAGGATGATGATATTGCGCACTTAACTTTGTCAATGCCTATTGCTTTGCGATGTTTATTTGCAATAGTGTTGATGTTTTGTCAAGCAGCGAATCCTGAGGCCCTATAGTTTAAGTATTATCCCTTTCCGTCTGAAGATTTCCAGCAGGAATTTCCAAATAACAAAGATAAAGTTCAGCAGCTAACTGTAAGAGCTATTGAGAAGTATTTGGAAGCTATGGGGAAATCTCTTTTTGATTTTAGCTTGGACCATTTAAATAGTCAGGTCAATGATGAATTCAGGTGAACAAAGGATATTATAGACGCTCTTGATGCACCTATCCCGGATGAATGTCTTACATGTCGTTCTAGGCTTAATTCTGAGCAGAATGCTGCTTTCAATTGTATTATGCAATACATTACAGAAGGGAAATCAGGTACATTCTTTATTGATGGTCCTAGTGGTACGAGGAAAACCTTTTTGTACAATGTTTTATATGCAGAAGTATTTCTTATGAATAAGATTGTTCTTCCAACAGCAACATCAGGGATTGCTGCAGCTAATATACCTTCAGGACGCACAGCTCATTTGAGGTTTAAAATACCACTTAACAATGAAGCTTTTCTAACATGTGATGTTCCTAAACAAGGTAGCTTGGCAGCATTACTTAAAGAAACTTCTTTAATAATATGGGATGAAGCTTCAATGGCTAAGAAGCAAAACATTGAATCCTTGGACTTATGATTGCAAGATATATGTGGTAATAAATCCATGTTTGGAGGCAAGATCCTTGTTTTTGGTGGTGATTTCAGGCAAGTGTTACCAATTGTTCCTTATAAAACGATGAAAGAAGCAGTAGACACAAGCATTGTGACTTCATACTTATGGCCAAAATTTATCAAATTCAAATTGGTAGAAAACATCAGAGCTCAAGATGATTTATCATACTCTGAATTCTTACTTGACCTAGGTAATGGTAAGTTGCAAGAAATAGAATCTGCGTACATTTAGTTGCCAAGTCATATTTCACAATACTGTGAAAATGGGACATATCTGACTTGTGATCTCATAAGAACAACATTTCCTGAAATGGTTCAAGGGAACTGCTATGGTGATATATTCACAACACGGGCAATTCTAACTCCATTGAATGATGAAGTAGATTTTATAAATTCATTGATGATAGAGCAATTCCATGGAGAACTTGTTACTTACAAGAGTTTTGACATCATGTTGAATGATACTTGCAATATATACCCTACAGAAATCATTAACACTATGTCCGGGTGGAATGAGCCCTCATGAGCTTGTGCTAAAGGAGAACTATCTAGTAATCTTGTTGAGAAATCTGTTGCCTTATTCTGGTCTATGTAATGGAATGCACCTTATTTGCAAAAAATTCTTTCCAAATGTCACAATGTGTCATAGCTGTTGGGCAATACAAAGGAGTTGAGGTCTTTATACATAGAATAAATTTATGGCCACCTGGTTCTGTAAGTTACCCATTTCAGTTTGAAAGAAAGCAATTCCCTATCAAGCTAAGCTTTGCAATGACTGTAAATAAATCTCAAGGGCAAACTTTGAATCAAGTGTCCATATATCTTCCACGTTCATGTTTTTCTCATGGGCAGTTGTATGTTGCTATGTCTCGTGCCAGAAAAGCCAAAGATGTTAACATCTTCTATGCTAAGCCTCCAAATCCATTCCCACAAAACACGGTGAAAAATGTAGTAGCTTATGAAGTGTTAAGGCTAACAGGCATTATTAAAGATGACTCAAATGAAAGTAGTTGAATAATAACCTTATTTATAAGGAGTTTAGGATTAGTGCCTACTCTCTTTGAAATTTAACGAATGTTACACAATTTTCATTACATCATAATATGTTATACATGTGAACAATGATGTGTAACAAAACTCTTTTCTGTAGACAACCAAGAAACAGAACAAAGAAGTATTTTGATGAAGATAACTATCACATACATGTGATTGGTGAAGATTTGCTTTAAATATGTACACACAATTGATATCATTTGGTTTTATGTTTTACTTTTAACAAGAAAGGTTTTAGAACGATTCAAACATATTTAAGCTAATATGACACATAGTTCTGATACAAGAGAAGACATGCATTTGCTACTACTATAAGTTTATCATATAATACACACATACTTTGATGTTAAGCCTATAACAACTTAATATATTTGATAACAATCCAGCATTATATCAATCCATATAAGCTTAGTTATTCCTAAGCTAGAATCCTTATGATGGTCCAAGTCGAAGTCAAAGAGCAGAGGGTAACCTTCTCGGTAAACAACTAAAGCGCCAACACCAGGAACAATACACTAATGCTGGTAAAAAAGACTAACACCATTACGAAGTGCACAGGATGTGATCATGCCCCTTACACGAGTCAATTGAAGCTCAGCACACCATTGATTATACCTGTGATGAACTAAAACAATTGTGCATGGCTGCATTGTTAAGAAATGTTGCCAACCAAATGTCTCTGGAATAGTCTGCAAGAAATAGGTTACCAGTAAACTTGTTACCATCAGATCATACATAAACAACCACAATATTGTTTATTCTTAAACAGAAACACTTACAATGATTCCTTGCTGAATACACTGACCATTGAATATGTATGTAAAGGATGGTTGAGGACATTGTTGCTGCATCAAATTTAAATGAGCTTGTAACTCTAAAACAATCAATGGAAGCACTCTCTGGATGGCAGTAGTTCTTGACTATGACTCATTTAAATTTGTCTTGTCTTCACCATGAGGAGAGAACATTTTAGAGTGGAACATACCTGCACCTTTCAAATACATTATTAAAGTGTCTCCAACTTCAATATCATTATCAGAAATAAATTATTTCCACCCTTCCTCGATATACATCCCATTAATCATATACCATCATAGGTTTTCTTAATAACAATATCCCATGATTGTCCATTCACAACTCGAAAAATCGTAGCTTGTGCACATTGATTGCCAAAGATATGGTAAAACCAGAAAGGAATTTCCTGCATGACGGTGTACAATATATTATTAAGAAAATAAAGAAAAGGAATAATGAATGATTATTGAAACAAGTAGGGTCACATACTACAAGTTCTTGGTTTTCTTCATCAATCTTCAATATCCATTTCATAAGAGTTGCATCATTAGCCTAACAAGATAAGAGAAAGTTGAAACATAATCAGCAATTTAATTATAGGTAATATTAAGAAAGATAACTTAATTTGTAAATTATAAATATACATACCATTTTTTGGTAACGCAATCTAATGGTTAATAAAATATTTTCGCTTATAGTTTTAGTTAAGCTACAAGAGTACGCCCTTTATATAGCACATTAGAAAATACAGATATGTTCAAGTAGCCATGTGACAAGTAGCTAGGAAAATGAGACTCTAACAAGATTCAATGCCTTAATCATACACATCATACAAGAGTAGAAGGCATCTATGCAGTATGAAATGACTAATCAAATATCAGGGTTAAAATTTTTATTTTTTACATTAGCAATTTCCTGTATGCAATCCATTATAAGATTATATTAAGATGTGGTCATTTCTTTTGCCAGGCATAATGACAATGCCATATAGTTTCCAAAGATTTGTTGTACGTTGCTTTGCAAAGCTGTTATGTCAAAAAATTTGTTATGTGTAATTAGATCATGTGCCAGTTTCAGATATATTATCTAGGTTATACAAATTCAACACATTTGATATTAAGTTCATTTTGGTTGGACTGTAGTAGAATTAAGTGAATAATTTCTCTCACTCAATACATAGTAGTGTAGATATTGAAGTCCAATTAGTGTATGATTTAAATGAGACTCTTAGTTCACAATAACACTAAAATTTATCATTTGCTTTTTTACATTGGTTAGTAAACAAATTCCTTTATAAATGTAGCAAGGTATGTATCACATTTATTTTTGCATGAAATTTAAATGTTCATTTCCTTTCTCCATAGAGTTTATGCTGTAGGTACTGTTGGAAACATAAAATTTAAACTTTTCTATGATAGACCATAGACATTCAAAGAAAAAACAATCAGAATTAGTCTTAACTTCAACTTCTATTTATTTATTGGATCAAGGCTCTTAAACTCTGACTCTTGTCATAACAAGAGGAAATGTAAATGCATTGACTACGTTATTTAGTATCTGTTTATTGATATAAGCAACTATATCAACCTAATTTGACACCTGCCTAAATGATTAATGCCTTGCAAAAGTAAATATCTCCTCAATTTAAATTACATAGCTTCAACCTCATACAAACCATCAGTATATAATCTGTATTCCATAAAAAATCATAAGAATACCTTTACCAATAAAAAGATTTCCAATACAATTACCTAAGCTAAGATAAAAAAGAAGAAAATACCAAAATTCTTTCATAAGCATCATGTCAAATCTTCCAAAAAAAAAACAACGAAAAAAAAAGAAAAAAACACACACACAAACCCTTATTCAGATTCCTTATAAATTCGTGTACTCAGACTAATAATTGTAGAAGCAGACTTTTCCCAACTATTCTTGATCTTATATTCTCTACTATTTTTTTTCTTGCTATATACCAGTTAAAAAGGTTATATGGTCTTCTAAGTATTAATCAAAATACTTAACTAAAGTATGAAATATATCTAAAAACTTGTATGGACTCAACAACTGGTCATGAAACATGGTGAAAATGTTAGTTTACTCATTGAGTTGACTCAACAAATGGTGAAAATGTTAGTTTACTCATGATTAATTTCTCATTCTCAAGTAAACTTGTAACCTAGCTACATATCACCAAGGTGGAAACCTGATCATCAAACATATCCTCGCATTGAAGCATTCACTACAATAAGCTATAAAATCTCATAAGAGATCTTCAATTCTTATTTCATGAAATGGACAATTACATCAGCAAATGCATTAACCTTTGCATTCTAAACTACCGTTACATTATCTGGTGTTATTCCTTATGTTACACAATTTTGTACTAATAAAGCACAATAAATTATTCCCCATACAAACAACTTCCATACATAACATAATTACCATGCTTTGCTCTAAGAACTTTAAGTTCCTTCAAAAACCTAAAACTACTACCTATCCAAATGACCACCTTGATCTTACATTTAGAGGAGTCTTAATTCCAACACGATAGGATTTTCATTATTTAGAAACATAATACCAGCTCTGCCTGGTGATATTTGTTGATCCAATAGAAGTTGTGCAAATTCATTCTTTACTTTGCTGCACACCTTCCCATCATTGTGCATCATTGTCTCTACTAAAGCATCCCACATTCCATCTCCATACTGAATCTGAACTAGTGTATTGAACTCGGCTTGAGAAAAAACATGTGCAGCGAAGTGCATTGGAATACTCTGCATAGAATACATATTAGAATCAATAAAAATACAGACTACAACCAAAAGGTATTGTGCAGAATAATTATGTTTTAGTGGAAAACTAACCAAACTATCTCTTTTTTAATACAATTGAGAGTAACAACTACAGAGAAAAAAGGCTTGTTGCTAATGTCAAACAACTTGCGAATATTGTTTTGTATATCTTCTGAATCAGTTTCTCCTTCCATTGCACCATACTTCATAAAAGATGTTCTTTCAATTCCAGACCTAGAAAAAATTCTTATGTAGAACTTACGATTACCTGCATAGTAAATCATAAGCACCTCTCCATCAACTACATTATTGTCATTAATAAATATGTCCCACCCAATATCCAAACACATGTTTCAATTGCCATTGTATGTGACTTTTAACAATTGAGCATTCCATGTCCGATTGTTAGCTCCATACAAGATTTCAACAGGGCTGAAGACATGTTCCAGGAGAGGAGTCCACTCTTGAGGAAACATTTACATACAAACAAATATGTTAAATAACCTACAATATAACTCATATACCTCAAAAAAGCAAAAGTTACACTGCTGATCAAAAGTTACAACATGGCATGGCAAGTTCGCGTACATTATTCTACTTTCTCCAACAACACCAACTTAATACCACATGAGTTAGTTAAATTACTAACTTATAGATGTATAGATAAGATGCTTCAAGCAAATTCTCCTTAACCAACAAATTATTACTTTTAATCCTAACAATAGATCGCTCTCTGTTTGATTTACTAAAGTTTTTGTAATGTACCATTTAATTATGATTATAAATTATTACTCCCAAATTCCTACTTCTAGACCGAAGTATCATAGCTTTATTACATTAGTAGGTATGTTTTATACAGTAAAACCTTGCTATTGAATAAACAACTATCATCTATTTGTAACAAAACAAATGACCCTATGATTACCTTAATATAATTCAATTATATAGTTATTTAATTAAGATATTTAATAACAAAGAAAGATAGCTTATTTCAAATTAGCACATTTTTTTAACACCAAATTTTACATACTTATTCCAATACAAAATCCAAAATATGACCTATGTAAAAAAGAACTTTATCACATAAAATTATATGGTTAAAATAAACCCATGAATTTTGTCATTCAATTTTTTAAAAACTAAGATCTGGTCATGCATAACATAACAACTTAAAAAGACCCTTGAAACTTAGACAAATAATATCGCCATTTAATTTGAACACCTACATATATATAATTACTAGCCTCAGCATATAAGCACCCCTACTTAAATGTCAAGAATACATTTGTGAAGGATACTTACAAAGACCAAAAAAACATTAACTATTTTACAATATTACGTTTTTGGCATCATAATGTGGACGAATTAAAAGTT